CCAGCCAGCCAAACTGATGTCGATTTTCTGCTCAGGCTGTTTGGGGTGACTTTCCTGAACCCAGGGCTATAGTCTCGCCAGAGACTCAGGCCACAGCTGGGATTGGTCACCCACCTTCCAGCCTCAGTTACCCACTGTTGCCCCAGTAGGCAGGGCACACACAGCCTCTGCCCCAGACCCCCAAAGCCCCCGCTGGAGAAGGGGCAGAACCACCAGGCTGGATGGGGGGGGGCAGAGAAAGAGGCCACCTCCATCTCCTCTTCTTCGTCTAATGACTTTAGGGTTGTCACTGTGATTGATAGGAGGAAAAACCAAATTTCATACACGTGGAGGGGCAACACAGTCATGGGTCTGGGAGGGGAAGGAAGGTCCCACGTGAGCTATGGCATGGCATTGGGCCCAGGGCTTCCAGAGGACAGGGGGTGCGGGACAAGTCACAGATGCTCAGGCCTGGCCTGGGGGAGCAACTGTTCACCTGGGAATCACCCCACTCCTACAGACAATTCTAGGTTAGCAAAAGGAGTGGCATAAGTGTCCCCTGTCTTCAGGACCCAGTGGGTTTCGCTTGGAAACCCTCTAGCCAGACCAGTTTGGGGTACTTGGGGAGGTGTGTGGAAACCCCCAGGTCACCCCATGGACACCCAGAGCTCCATAAGGGCCCCTAGTCAGTAGAAGGAGAGGAAGAGGCCCAGGTAGGGGATGCCCACAGGCCTGGTCTGGCTCCCTGGACATGGCCTAAGCTTCTTGTGGGTCTCTGTAGCATGGTGCTCCTGCAGAGTGTGATGCTTCGACTTGGTGGGGGGGAGGGTGTCTCAGGGACAGGACCCCTGGTGGACACCTGGAAGCCACTCTGAGGGGTGTGCTGCTTCAGTCAAGCAGCTATGACCTGAGGCGGGGGCAACGCCTAGTGAGGCCTGCGTGCCCGCCTCAAACTGCCTGGACTGATTTACTCACTCTGACTCTAACTCTCTAAAACCAGTATCTCCCCAAGTGCTCCTGGCGGCAAAGGGTGTGCCCTGCATGAGCAACTATGCAGCCTGCCCACTGGCAGGGCTGTCCTAGCCAGCCAGAAACCCTGAGAGAGGTGTACCCCATGAGGGAGGGCAGCCCACCCTGATGAAGAAGGGTGAGGCAGGGGAGCCCCCACTGGAGCTCAGAGAGAGGGGTGAGGGGCAGTCTCTGAAGACTTATCATCAAAGACTGGGCAGAGCCCCGCGGATGGGGAAGCCCTCCCCCCACCCCCCGGCCCCTGAATGTTTAAGACAATTGCTTATCTTTCATGTTAAGAAATCCCGAGAGGGGCTGGAGCAATAGTACAGTTGGATAGGGCGTTTGCCTTGCACGCGGCCAACCCAGATTCGATTCCCAGCATCCCATATGGTCCCTGAGCACAGCCAGGAACAATTCTTGAGTGCAGAGCCAGGAGTAACCCCTGAGTATCGCTGGGTGTGACCCAAAAAGAAAAAGGAAAAAAATTCCCGAGAGGGGCTGGAGCAATAGTACAGTGGATAGGGCATTTGCCTTGCACGTGGCCAACCCGGGTTCGATCCCAGCATCCCATACGGTCCCCTGAGCACAGCCAGGAATAATTCCTGAGTGCAGAGCCAGGAGTAACCCCTGAGTATTGCCGGGTGTGACCCAAAAAGAAAGTCACTGTCACTGTCCTCCTGTTGTTCATCGATTTGCTCGAGCGGGCCCAGTAACATCTCCATTGGAGACTTTGTTGTTACTGTGTTTGGCATATCGAATACATCACGGGTAGCTGTGCGGGTGAGAGATACTCTCGGTAGCTTGCCAGGCTCTCTGATAGCTTGCCAGGTTCTCCGACCATACCACCCTGAACATGCCCGATCTTGTTTGACCCAAAAAGAAAAAGAAAAAAAAAATCCCAATTGGGGGCTAGAGTGATAGTACAGTGGGTAGGGCATTTGCCTTGCACGTGGCCAACCCGGGTTCGATCCCAGCATCCCATATGGTCCCCTGAGCACTGCCAGGGGTGATTCCTGAGTTCAGAGCCAGGAGTAACCCTTGTGCATTGCTGGGTGTGACCCAAAAAGCAAAAAAAAAAAAAAAAAAGAGAAAAAAATCCAGACAGAGGGCAATGGGCTTGATTTTGACAAGTGCCCCTTTCCCTTTGTGGTTGCCATGCCCATTTACTATCAATGTCCCATCCCTCGGCCATGGTGACCCATGTCCCTGTCTTGACAGAGGAACAAGTATGCTCCCACACTTGATTTTGGGTAGCAGTACTGGCACTTGGCTCCTGGCAGTGTGGAGTGGTGCAGGGATGGACTCGTGACGTTCTGCATACAAGGCACAGGCTCTGCTCGACAGCACGTCCCTGGGCTGCCCTTATTTCCCCATTTCATGTGAAAGACTTGGAGGAGAGTGGGCTCGGCTCCGGGCAGGATTTCCTCTACAAAGGAAAGATCAGGCCAAGCTTATTTGGAAGATGCCCCCTACCAGGGAACTGAACCCGGAGCGAGAGCCGGGTGATGGGGGTGGTTCATGCTCTCTGGGCCTGGCAGTGTGGGTGCTGGACTTTATGCTGCTTCTCTTTTCCCTGGAAACTGACCAGGGACAGGCAGGCCTCTCTGGGGTCTCACCTGGAAAAGAAAGAACTGTGACTTCAGTGGAGGCAGGCAGGGGTGGGGGGAGTTCTATCAACTTCCTGCAGCTTCAGATCTGGGCCATCTCTAGGTAGAGATGATGGGAAGGGCTGACAGAAGTGCCACCTTTGTTGTCGGCTCTACCCCTTGTGTCATGGGCACAGAGGGGGTCTTCTGCTGGGAGAACCCAAGCAATAACAAGGTGTGGTTTGAGGCAGGCAGGCTAGCCCCCTCCCCCCGCAAACCTGTTCATGGTCCGACTCAGCCCCTTGTCCTGTTTGAGGAGTCTGTGGGGACAAACAGTTGATGCTTTACTATCAATGTCCCATCCCTTGCCCATGGTGACCCATGTCCCTGTCTTGACAGAGGAACAAGAGGCTCTTCAATCAAAAAGCTACTTACTACTAGCTGTGAGACCGCTGGGGCTGAGGCTGGGAACCTTGAGGGTCTGGGTCCCCTTCCTTTATAGAGCCAGGGTGGATTGCTTCTAGAGTGTAACCAGATGAGCTTTGTCCCCCAATGTGAGCTCAGGCAGGCTACCCACCTCTTGGGGTTCTCATCCGTCAAAGAGCACCAGGAGACAGAGCTTCCCTGTCTGTCCTGAGGGTTGGATGGGCTAGTATTGTGAGTGCCTGGTACCCACCCGCCATAGTAGCTGGTACTTCCTTCCCCCCTTCCCATTTTTAAAAACTTAATTTTATTGAATCACTGTGAGATAGACCTTTGCAAAGCTGTTCATGATTGGATTTCAGTCTTACAGTATTCTAACACCCATCCCTCCACCAGTGTGCATTTCCCAGCAGTGTCCCTAGGTCTCCTCTCATCATCCCCCACTCCCACCCTCACCTCTGCTTGCCTCTATGGCAGGCACTTTTACTCTCCCCTCCACCTCTCGCTCCCCTTTCAGGTATTGTGGTTTGCAATATTGATACTGAATAGTTATCAAGAAAATCCCCTTACCTACTTATAACCCTCAGATCTTGTCCAGCGTGATCATTCCCAGCTATTATTGTCACACTGGTCTCTTCTCTATCTTACCTACCCTCAGCCCCACACACACTTGTGGTTAGTTCCAACCATTGACCAGTCCTCCTAGCCCCTGTTTTCCCTGGCCATGGATATTAGTCTTCTACTCTATATATGTTTTTATATACCATAATGAATGCAGTCATTTTATATCTGTCCCTCTCCTTCTGAGTCATTTCACTCAGCATGATACTCTCCATGTCCATCCATTTACAGGCAAATTTCATGACTTCATTTTTCCTAACAGCTACATAGTATTCCTCTGTGTAGATGTGCCGTAGCGTCTTTATCCATTTGCCTTTTCTTGGACACTCAGGTTGTTTCCAGACTTTGACTCTCGGAGAGCCCGGCAAGCTACCGAGAGGATCTCGCCCGCACGGCAAAGCCTGGCAAGCTCCCTGTGACGTATTCGATATGCCAAACACAGTAACAATTGTCACAACGGAGACGTTACTGGGCCCGCTCGAGCAAATCGATGAACAACAGGAGGACAGTGACAGTGACAGTGACAGTGACTATGGTGAATAGTGAGTAGCTGGTATTTCTAAGGCAGGTGAAGCCCAGGAGTTCATCTTGAATTTATCTTCTGCCCCTTTCCCTGACCTTCATTCACACTCCGAGACTCACGGCAGAAGCCTATCTGCACACAGCACCATAGTCCTACTATGAATCAGCGGGTGCTCTCTGGGGGGGTTCTCCCTTCTGCCAAACTTCAAGCTGTGCCCTTTCCCCAACCCCTCTCCAAGCTCCCCTTCCCCCCACCCCGCCTTCACTGGCCTTCCTACCTCCATCTCATGGTCCATAGAGCAGAGCCTGGAAAGAGGCTGTCAGACTCCACAGTCCAGATTCACGCCCTGGTCCGAGGTCGTACCTCTCACACCGTCTCCCCAGAACACTGAGCCTTGCACTTCTCTAACGACTTTGCTCTTTGCTCAAGCCTTGTCCTTCCTTAAGCTTCAGCAACTTACCTCTGCCCCATGAGTCAGAGACTCCTTTCCCAAGGCTACCTAGGCAGATGAGAACAGATAGGGCGCTTAGTCAGAATGAGGGAATCCACTGCCTTGGGGCACCCACGCCTCTCCAGGAAAGGCCCCTGCAGACCCAAGCTCAGACACCGGCCCGCAAGGCGGCCAGGGAGCTCGCTTGATCGCCGCCCTCCCCCTCGCGACTTTGCTTTGAAGAGGGAGCCTAGGTCGGGAAGGGGCGGAGCATAACACAGACCACGCCCACTACATGCAACCCTCGACCAAGACCACGCCCCGACACGCCCTCTCTCCGCCCCTTCCGCCCCGCCCGCCCCCCGCGGGGATATAGTGGCGGGCTCAGCTGACTGTGCACTTCACGTGACTCCGGCCCACGGTGAACATGGCGGCCACCACCGGGTGAGTGCTGCCCCGTTCGCGGTCGCTGCCCCGCGGCGCAGAGGCGCCTGGGCCTCCCCGGCTGCGTCCCTTCCCGCTCCGCCGTGTGGCCACATTCGGGGCGGCGGGGGAAGGGGCTGGGTCCTGGCCCTGGCCGGCTCCAAGTCGCCGGCCTTGCTTGGTTCGCAGCTTCTCTCCCTGCTGCCCTCCGAGCGTCCTGGCCCTCTGGCCACACCCGCGAGTGTGGGGCGCGCCCCGCTGCGGCCGGGTGTGGGTGTGTGTGGGGGTTTGGGTCGGTATTTGATTCACGCCCCCACGATTTCCAAAGCGGAAGGCGACCTTCGCCCGCAATGGGGAACCTGCAATGGGGAGCTCCCGAGGTAGCAGTGATTGAAACGGGCTTGGCATCCTCTCCCCGGCGGAGTACTTTCTTATCTCCTCTCGGGTCCTGGTGTCATCTCTTCAGAGGAGCCGCCCACAAATCCCCACCCCACTTCTTGCAGCCTGCCCGGTGCTCAAAGTTGATTTTTCTTTTTTTTCCCATCCTGCATTTAGAAGGTCAGGGCCCGGCCCGGATCTCCTCCTGTCTCACGTGTACACACTGGGGGTGGGGGGCTTCAGAAATTCTGCCGCCTGAAAGAGTGGGCTAGTGGGTAGACGTGTGAACAGCTGGGTGCACTGAACTTTGGGAAAGATGGCCCAGACTCATCTGGCACGTCCCAGTAAAGGTTGAGAGAAAAGTGTTGAGGGCTCAGAATGTTCCTGGGTGAGGTGAGAATGGGTGTGTCCCAGGGCTGGAGTGTGCACCGCTCCAGTGACTTCCTCAGACTTTGTCCCCAGGACCTGGAATACTTTAAGGTTTTAAGTCTTCACTGCTTGGCTTTTTAGAGCAGACGTTTTCTTGGCCTGTGGGAGTTAGGCGGAACCCTGTAATGGGAAGGGTATGTGAGCGTGGGGGTGCTGGAGGTGTGGTGGAGATAGGGTACGAAAGGGAGATGCCTGAAATGCCAGGTGGGAGTTGAAATCAGAATGGGGGAGTGTGTAGGAGAACTGGTGAGCTGTGTGGGCAAGTGGGAAAGAGGGGCAACAGAAAATGGGGTCTTGGTTGGCCCCCAGGGTTAGGAGAGCTTAGCACTGTAGCACTGTCATCCCCATTGTTCATTGGTTAGCTCGAGAGGGCGCCAGTAACGGCTCTGTTCGTCCCAGCCTTGAGATTTTCGCGGCCTCTCCTTACTTGTCCTTCCCAATGCTGCTGTATTGGAGGCTCTTTCAGGGTCAGGGGAATGAGGCCTGTTATTGTTGCTGTTTTTGGCATATTGAATATGCCACGGGTAGCTTGCCAGGCTCTGCCATAGCTTGCCAGTCTCTGCCGTGTGCCAGGCTCTGCCATAGGGAGAGCTTAGAACATACAATTCAAATGTTTTCTGGACTTTCGCTGTTTTCCAGGAGCAGAAGCAAATGTCTCACCTGCCCTCAGATGTTTCTAGGTCTCTGGGCTAGGAGGTACCCTCTAGTCATGGTCTGCCTCTGAACTTACTGAGGCCCCTACAAGGTATGAGTTGGAGCTCAGGGAGAATGCAGGGAGTGTGTGCTCCGTGGATGGCACCTGCACTACTTCAGGCAGAGAGGTCTAGCAAATGCCAAGGAGTACAGGGCCACACCCTTTCCCCTAGCCGGGACTGAGTCTCACGGGGCAGTGTGCAGTGGGCATAGGCTGGTGTCCTGGGGTGGGCACGTTGTCTCTAGTCTGGACCAGTTGGATCATTGAAGGTCCTGCCAGTGGCATTCAGGGCTCCTTGAGACTGCTGCCTCTTGTGAGACAAAGGGCCAGGCTGGAGATTGGGTTGGGTGTGTGTGTGTGTGTGTGTGTGTGTGTGTGTGTGTGTGTGTAGAGCTGGCTATCCAGGAAAAAGGGCTCTTCTGGCAAAGCTGATTTTCTGGACCATGGGGTCAGGCAGAGAGAGAAGTCTTGGCGATGCATGTTATCAGAAGGGAAATGTGGTGGGGTATGTGTATGGGGTGGGGGTGGGTGGATTGGCCTTCCTTAGCAAGTGTAATCTAGGAATGGGGCTGTCCCTGCTGGATACTTTGGGCCTGGGGAGGCGCCTCATTGCCCCCTGAGGGAGGTTGTGTGCTTCCAGCTGAGCTTAGCTCTCAGCTGTGAACATTGCACAGAGAAAGTTGGAGAGAGGAGGCTGCCCAACATCTTGGCATGGCTACGGGTTCCCTGGGTGTTGGACTTGGTTGTCCATCATCCTACTGGAGCCAGGGCCGCAGGAGACCACAGTAGCTCTATGGACTGGGGTATGCATCTCTTGCTTTGGGGAGTAGCCCTCAGCTGGCACCTCAGACTCAGCCAGTAACTTGAGGGGCTCCTGGGGGAGTGTTTGATGGTTGATCCGAATCTCTCCTGGGCAAGGCCTTCAAGTTGTTTGGTTTTAGGGCCAGTCAGGAAGTACTCCTGGTTCTGCGCTCAGAAATCACTCCTCTCGGGACCATATGGGGTGCTGGGTCATCTGCATGCAAGGCAAGAGCTCTACCTGCTATGCCATCTCTCCAGCCTCCAGAGCCTTCAAGTTTGAGGCAGAGGGTTTTCTCTGAGCCCCCACTCCTGGTTCCGTGAGAGGGCCCCTTCCCATGGCTCTTGGTGGAGAGAACCTGCTTGAACTTGTGGTGGCAGCATGGAGATTCCTGTGTGCCCCCTCTCCTCCTTGGCTGTGGCCCCTTCTGCCCTGTACCTGTGCCCTGCTGCCCCTCCTGGTGACCTTGGTACCTGAGGGCTCTTCAGTCACTGCTCCAAGGCCAGGCCATTCCTTGGTGACATGGTGCTGCAAAGAGAAGGGACCCCTGTGTGCAGTCAGCCCCTGCCATTTCCGGGGTTGCTTAGGGCTGAGTGCTCAGGAATGAAGGCATTGAGGGTGGGCTCAGGCTTCACAGGAGAGCCATCTTTTGTGATGGCACAGCACCCTGGGACCTGTTACCCAGAGGCCTTTGCCCAGGGAGAAGTGCCAGGTGAACTGCCCTGGGTGTGTACCTGTTGGGTCACAGATCACACTGAAGTCAGCGTTGTACTGCGGAAAAGGACTTCGGGAGTAGGCCTGTCCCCACCCTTAGGTGATCTTGTGTCCCTGAGCGAAGGCCTCTGACTGACCCTGGGAGCTAGGGTAAGCATAGGGATATGGCGACAGACTGGCTGGTAAGTGCCCTGGGCTGTCCCCAGCCTTCTTTGGGCCTGGTGCCTACCCCCCTCAGTCATCAGGAGAGGGGGAATACACGGGGGGAGACAGGGACCAGCTGCCCGGGGAGTGACTCCCAGAGTCTCTGCTTGAGGCATGGCCTGAGTTGAAGTCTGAGACTGCCATGAAGCAGCCAGGCCTCCCACCCTGCCCCTCCCTCCCTGGGCTTCACATCCCACAGGGGGTTCCTGTGCTGCAGACCCAGGGGGCATCAGTGAGTCCATGGTCCCCTTCTCAGAAAGTCTAAAAGTGTGTGAGGGACCAGGTGTCCAAAGCACAGGTGAGTGGATGGAGAGACAGTGGTCCGTCTTTGCTCACTGCTGAGCAAGGATGGAATCATGCAGTTTGCCCTGTGTGGGTGGAGCTGGAGGGTGTCAGTCAGAGATCCAGAGGCAGCTCTCTCCTATGTGGAAGGGGAAGAGGCAGAGTGTGTGTGTGGGGGGGGAGGGGGGGCGGGGGGGGGGAGATAGAGAATGGCCAAAAGCAACAGAACCTGAGAACTTGTTTACAGAACTGAACTTCCCATAGTGTGTGTGGGAGTGGAGAGCGGATGAGGGGATGGGGCAGGGAGATAAAGGAAGGGCACTGCAGGGGGGTGGGAGGGGGGAGCCCGGAGACAGTGATGGAGGGGAATACACTCTGGTAGGATGGGTGTGGTATTCATGAAACCTTGTCAAGGGCAGTATTGTAAATCAAAGTGACCCTTCCCATCCCCAAAAAAGTGTCATTGGGGTGGGGGGTGGTGGTGGTCTTGGGCACTGTGCAGTAATGAGCCCAGCAATGGAAAGGCGGTGCCATGGAGACCTTGTGGTCTGAACTCTGTAATGACATTTAAAAACAGAATGTATAAGGGACTGAGAGAAAGTTTGATCCCCGCCTCCACTGTCCCCGGAATTGCCGAGGGTGACCTGCATCTGGGTGACCTTGGGGCTGGTTGTGGGGCTTCCTCTCTCCACAGGGCCTGAGCAGCACTCACAGTGGATCCCATTGAACCCCGGCCCTCTTGAGTGGCTTCCCAGACTACCTGAGCACTACTTGGGAGGCACTCCCCCTCATCCCCCCCTCCCCATAAACCCACAACTTTATGAAATAACAACTTACAGCTGACATCACATGAAGCCTAGTACCAAAATGTTAAAAGTCTCATGGTAATAGACACGTCCTTATTAACATGTTAAGTCCCAGAATCTGGCAGCAGGGCTAATGGCCACTTTCCTATGAGGGAAAGTGAGCCACAGTGATGACTCTGTGACAGTGATGATGTAACATGACGGTTCCTGCACACCGCGGGTGCCCTGGGAGTTAGTCGCTCAGGTTCCCAATGCAGGAGAATCTTTGTTTTGCTTGAGAAGTTAGGGGAACGCAGACGCTCCCGCCCATCCTTGTGCAGAGCACCCTGTAACATGGGAAAGAACCCCCTGAGTCCAAGGGGGCCCGTGAGGACAAAGGGGAGGAGGGTGGTTCGGGCCTGGTTTGGGGGTATGGAGACAGGTTGGGGGCTCACCCCCTCCTGGTTGCTGTGTTTGCGGCTCAGGCCGTTGCTTGAGTCTCAGCAATGGCCTGGAGTGGACTGGCCTCAGGTGACCTGCTGTCGTGGGCCCCCGCCGTCTCGCGCCACCCAGCTGCCTACCGGGCAGTGTGCCTTATTCACGCTGGGATCTGGGGGCTGACCTGGATTTTGCCTTTTCAGTCCGGCTTCAGTTAGCAGCAGCCCCAGCAGGAGCGCGCGGGGGAGAGGTTTAGTTGGTGACGCCTTTGCTGACCAGGCAGGGGAAAGCGGCCGTGCTGGCCCCAGGCCCAGCCATCGCAGAACTCAAAGGGCAGGGGCCAGAGGGATAGGACAGCAGGAAGGGCGTTTGCCTGGCACACTGCTGACCCGGGTTCGATCCCAAGCACCCAACAGGGCCCCTCAAGCCCCGGCGGGAGGGATCCTTGAGTGCAGAGCCAGGAGTAAGCCCTGAGCACTGCCGTGGTTGTGCTGTGGCCCCCAAACAAAATGAAAGCAAACAAAGGGCAGTTCTCAGGGCCTAGTGTCTGCCCTGCCCAGCCCTGCAGGGCCCGGGGGAGCGGGTGGGTGGGCAGTGACTCCCCTCAGGGGCTTCTCCAGCTTCCTTTTGTGACCGGAGCTGACCAGCCCTGGGGTCCCAGGCCTCTGTCAGAGCATCCTGAGGGGTTTAGGTTCCTCAGAAAGTTCTAGAAGAGGAAACCCAGCATTCTAGCTAGGGCTTGTGGGGGGCTGGGCTCCTCAGGCTGGGCTGAGTCGGGCACCTCCAGCCACGGGCGCCACACAGTGGCACTTCGGGCCTTCCCGACCCGGAGTGGTGTCCCTCCAGGCTGCAGCAGGGTGTCCCTTCCTGTGTCCGGCGCCCCTTGCTGAGCGAGGGGACAGTGGTGCGGGTGCTCGGCGCCCCTCCCGCAGTGCTGGCCCTGTTGCTTTCACTTCCCTGCAGCCCCGCCAGGGCCGGGGAGCGAGCTCTCCTCTGCCCTGTGACGGCGTGTGATGGGGCCCCGGCCGAAGCGGTCATAGCCACCTCCAGCTGACCCTGGGCTGCGTCCGGGCTGGAGGGAGCACCCTTGTTTGGAAGCAGCACACGCTCATGGGAAGTGACCAGGCCAATGGCATCCATGAATGTGTCCACGTGGGGCTGGTCTCCAGCGCCATGGGTCATCTGGAAGCTGAAAAAGGCAGGAAACTGGAGGGGAATCTTCGAGGGCTGTGTCTTGGGAGCTGGGGGGCAGGGGGGGGAGGCGGCTGGAGGGCTGGGGGCTGGCGGCCGGGGCAGGGTGATCTCTGCTTCTTCTGGGAAGGCAGCAGGGTGGGTTTTTGATCTCCTGTGTACCTCCCTGTGCTCTTCCCAGCAGGGAGCATATGGGGTCCAGCCTGGGCACAGCTGAGGGTGGCCTGGGGACAGTGGGGAAGCCCAGCCGTGTGATGTGGGGGTCAGGTGGGAGAGTTTTAACAGGGCAGGGGAGCTGTCAGAGATGGCCTTGGAGCCGGGTGGGTAGAAGGGCCCCCCTGCCCTCCTCCTCTTGCTTGGATGCCATTGCCCCCCAATGGTCCTCATGGCTCTCATGCCCTCTCCTGCATGTGGTCAGCTCTGGGCTGGGCCTCCTCCTCCATCTTGTGCCCAGCTGCTAGCCCTGCTCTTTCTCTTGGCCCAGGGAACACCTGTCCTGTCCAGAGCCCGGATCAGCAGACACTGGTGCCCACTGTGCGCCAGGTGCTAGGTGCTGGGCAGGGCACTGAGCTTCTGCTCGTCCCGAGCCAGGCCAAGTGCATCCGTAGCACCGGGTGTCCGGCAGTGCTGGGGGAGTGGAGCCCCGGTGAGGAGGGCCTGGGCCATGGCGAACAGAGAAGCAGGCAGAAGGACCTGGGAAAAGCAAGCCTGTCCCTTCCTAGAGTGGGAGCGGGTCCTGCGGTCAGGTGGGGTGGTGGGGGGTACCATGCTCTGACCTCTGGGGGTGCGGAAGGAACAGGGAGCAGTGGTGTGCCCTGCAGGTGTTGGGGAGGAGGTGGGTTCACAGAGAGAGATGGCAACCCTGGGCCTGGGGAGATGAAGGGAGGGGTGTGTGTGTGTGTGTGTGTGTGTGTGTGTGTGTGTGTGTGTGTGATTGGCGGGGAGGGGAGGAGGGGGGGTCTGCGTGGAATGAGGCTGACCTGGGCGGGTGCTGAAAGGCCTGGAACCTTCAGTGAGGGGTGGCGGGGGGCGGGGGGTGAAAGGTTGGGTGGGGTCAAGGGGCAGCTCGGATTTGGGGTCATGGCGGGGAGGTGGGGGTGGAGGTATCTGAAGCCCCAGGGTGGGAGTGCAGAGAGGAAGGTTCCAGAAGCCAGCCCTGGGCTGAGGAGGTGGGAGGCAGACCGAGGGGCCTCTGGAGAGTGGAGCGAACTCTCTCCCTCTCCAGGGTCCGGGGCATGGGAGGGCCCCAGGGGCCTGGGACTCTAGGACTGACGGAGTTGGGGGTTGGTGTGCCTGTGCAGGGCAAGGAGGGGCCTGCCTGGGGGTGCTCGACAGGGAGAGGTGGGAGCATGAGGGGGGCTTGGGGGGAGAGGCCAGCGGCAGCCAGGATTGTTAGGGGGGCAGTGGGGAGAGACCTCCCTGCTCTGGCTCTCCACAACCGCTGGGGTGGGAGTTCTGCAGCTGCCCACCCCTTGCTGGCAGCTGGCCTCCAGTCCTGCACCCCCGGGGCTGTGGCTCAGTACCAGCTGATCTCTGGGGACATTGGGGCTCTCGCCTCCTGGGCTACACTTGACCCTGCCCTTGGCCACCTGGGCCATCCTCGCGAGGGTGACTGGGACCTCACAGGTGCATCCTCACCCTGGCATGCTGGCGGCTGCACAAAGAGGCTGTTTGGGAGGTCACTATAGGGCAGCGTTCACAACGGTGGGGGTGGGCTCCTGCGTGTGGCTGGTGCCGTGTGGACGCTGCTAAGGTGCCATGGGTCTCTGTGCTTCTGTCCCTGCAGACCTGCCTTTTGGCTGGGCAATGCCACCCTGAAGGTGCCCCTGGCGCTCTTCGCGCTGAACCGGCAGCGCCTGTGCGAGCGTCTGCGGAAGAACACGGCCGTGCAGGCGGGCGCCGTGGTGCTGCTGCAGGGCGGGGATGAGACCCAGCGCTACTGTACCGACACGGGTGTCCTCTTCCGGCAGGTGAGTGGGGCGCAGCGGTCCTGGGGAGGCCCTCTCCCAGAGGGACAGAAAGCCCCAGCCTGTGGTCTCTGCTCCGCCAGGGCAGATCTGTTGCCACTGCTCGGCTGGACCGAAGCAGACCTGCATCCCTGGGGAGCAGAGTCCTGGCGGGTGGCGCTGGGGGCAGTGTTCTCGGGGGGGGGGGGCATTGGTGTCATGGGCTGGGGGCAGGAGGCAGAGGTGCAGTTTCGTGGGGCCCCTCCTGTCTACAGTAGGGCTTGGGTGGTCAGTGATAGCACAGCGGGAGGGCATTTGCTTTGCATGCCATCCACCCAGGTTCCATCCCTGGCATCCCGTGTGGTCCCCCAGTACCACCAGGAGTAATCCCTGGACACAGAGCCAGGAGTAAGCCCTGAGCACTGCCAGATGTACCCCCAACCCCTTAACCCCCAAAAAAAGAAAATATAGTTTAAAAATAGGGGCGCTTGCTTACCTTGTATACAGCAGACCCAGGTTCAATCTCCAGCATCCTATATAGTCCCCTGAGCACTGCCAGGAGTGATTCCTGAGTGCAGAGCCAGGAGTCACCCCTGAGATGTCCGTTGTGATCCCCAAACCAAAAACACCACCACCACCACCACCAGAAAACAAAACAAAACAAAACAAAAACCCAAAAAATAAAACAACAAGAACAGCAAAACAAAAACCAAGCTTGTCAGAAGTGAGGAAGTGATCTCAATACTGCTAGTTGTGGCCCCCAAACTGCCCACCACCACCACCAAAAAAAAAAAAAATAGAGTGGGGTCTGGGAGCAGGTGTGTGGCCCTGGAGGCTTATCTGAGCAGGAGGGGGAACGTCCCATTTTCATCCCAACTGCAAAGAGGCTCTTAGGGAGCCCCAAGGGGCCGTGAACAGCCCAGCAGCAGGAAGTCAGCCTGGGGGCGATCATCGTGGGTGGGAGTCCGGGCCCCTTTACTTCCTGCAGCAGGAGCAAGCACAGGGGACAACCAGCTCCCTTCACCGGAGCCAGGGAGGCCCCGAGCCGCCCCTCCCTGGTTGATCCTCCTGTTGCACCTACACCTTCTCCCCGGCCCAGACAGGAAACCCTGTGCCAGGGTCAGAGCTGGTGTGAACCAGGAGACCCAGGTTCTGGTTCCAGATGCAGAGCTGGACCCAGTCCCGTGGGGATCCAAGAGCCTCCGTGGGAGCCGACAGCCGAGGGGATGGGCTGTTCCCATGGGTGTCCCAGTCAGGGAGCAGGTGAGGTGTGGCGTGGGGACTGCAGGTGGCCAGCAGTGACCCGCGATTGCCCCCCGGCTGGGCCTGGCTTTGCACCCCCTGCCTGGCCCTCCTCACACCTGCCTGGAGGCTCCGGATCTAAACAGCTCTCGGCCCCGCCTCGAAGCTTCGCGGCGCTTACAGATCCTGGTGGCGTAAAAGCCAACTTCCTAAATTCAGCGCTTGGCTCCCCTTCTGATGTGCCGCAAGGTTAATTTTGGAAGATGTCCTCCTCCACTTCCTACCTTTCCAGCGTCATTGTCGCTCCGTGTATATGGCCAAACACTGCAGCCACCCGCTGTCCCGGGGGCGGGGAAGGACGGAAGGAGCCTGTGGTTGGGGGGACCCGGCCTGGGTTGTCCAAGTCAGGGTTTCACGAGGCCTGCCTGCGGGTCAGTGGGTTGGTGCCCCAGGTCCAGTGCCCCACCCCACACCCACCCACCCAAGGGGTCTGCAGGGCACAGGGTACTCAGTGAAGCCAGCTAGGCTGCCCCCCATCATGGTGGGGTGCGAGGGTGCTGGTGGGGGGGTTCTGAGACGTGGAGTCTGTGACACCCCCCTCCCCCCCGCCTCCCTGCACGCACTCCTCTTCCTGCCTGCTGCTGACTGACCAGGGCTCCTCTTCCCACCACAGGAGTCCTTCTTCCACTGGGCCTTTGGGGTCACCGAGCCGGGCTGCTATGGCACCATTGACGTTGGCACCGGGAAGTCCACCCTGTTTGTGCCCAAGCTTCCGGCCAGCCACGCCACCTGGATGGGCAAGTAAGGCTGGGGCAGGGATGGACCGGTTGCAGGGAGGGGGTGAGGGGGCTGGCGGCAGAGAACGGGGCTGGGAGAGTGTCCTGGCTGGGAGGGGTTGTCTAGGCCACAGGCTGTGTTCATGCGCCTTAGAGGTGTGCTCATCCCGCCCTGGAGTCTGGTACCTAAGGTGGGACTCCCCACGGACTGTCACATCTGCAGGGCATTTCTGCGATTGCCCCCCAGGGAAGGGTGACTTGGGTCGGGCTGCGTCCTGGGCCCTCCTTGAGGAACACAGCAGAGAGGACAGAGCAGAGCCACAGAGGAGGCCTCTGCCGTTACTTCGGGACCCTCCGCCATCCATCCTGGGCCCATCCTGCCAGTTCAGGGCCCCCAAGAAGCAGCTGTCCTTGTCGAGGACACTTGGGAGGTGGGGCTGGGATGGTGGGTGCCCCACCTAGGCTGTGTGGGCGGCGGGCAAGTGGGTGAGGAGGCCCCTTGGGTCCTGTGGGGGAACAGGCTTAGATTGGACCCAGGCTGTCCCAAGTGGCCGGTGGGAGCTGCAGGGGGCCCACCACCCTTCACTCTGGCCTCCCAAAACTGTTTTGTTCCTGGCTGCCACCCCCCCTCCCCCGCTCCTTGGGGGAACCGGGACTTGGGTTCAGTGGCGTGTGGTCTGTGCTTGCTGGTTGCTCCGTGGCTGCATGGTGGATGGCACTGAGAGCCAGCACTAGGGGAACCCCAGAGATACCCTGAGACGAGTCGGTAAGGATCTGGGGGTAGGGCAGAGGGGCAGGCAGAGCCCTGAGCCTGACCCTGGTCCCAGCTGTGCAGGGAAGTGACCGGCAGGAAGCTAGATTCGGGGGCCCTGGGGTATGTCCAGCTGCCCGGGGAGAGGAGGCCCAGCTGACGGGAGTGACTGCCCCAGCCCACGAGGAGCTCTGTGGGTGGAGAATGTATCTGCTCCAACCCTGAGCATGCCCTCGGCATCCTCCCTGCCCCAGCCCCAGCCCCTGGGCTCTGGGGGCTGACTCGATGGCTCCGGTTTGCTCCCTGTGAGGGCTGCGCTGGGGCAGAGAAGTGTCCGGAGACCTTACCCAACCTTTCTGTCTGGGGCCAGGGGGGCTCTGCTGTGTCTCCATGTGTCTCTGCTGCTCTCTGGGCCACCCCTGGGGTGCTCGGGGTGCCCTGGCCTGGCAGTACTGGACTGCCTCTTCCAAGGCTTTGTCCCAGCTTGGCTCGGAACTGCTAGGGCTCACTTTGGGGGTCCTCTGGGGACCACGCGAGGCTGGGGAGGCCTGAACTCAGGCCCTCATGCATGCGGGGCGCATCCGCTGATTCTTCTGTCGCTCCCCACCCTTGTCCCCTCTCCTCCCCCGCTACCCTGCCCAACTGCTGCTTTTCTGAGGGGGAGGTGGGGAATGGGTGCAGGTGGGGTCCTCAGGGACCGCGTGGCAGTGAAGTTGAGGTTGAGCGCCCAGGTGGGGTGGCCAGGCTGCTGTTGGCTTTTCAGCGGCAGTCTCCCCTGGAGCAGGCGTTAAGTTCTGCACCCGTGTCTGCGTCTGGGCTGTGGCAGGCCTCCGGGCTGCTGTTCAGAGTTCTCACGTGCCCGGTCCCCATGTGGCCGTGCCAGCCGATTGTCCAGGCACAACGACGGGCTCTGGTGGCCTGGGAAGACCCTGTGCAGGCCGGGCTGGCCAGACACGCGGCTCACTCCAGGGGTACTGCCCCAGCCATGCTGCCCCCCTGCCCTCCTGCAGCGTGGGCTTACCTCTCCCGCCCCCCCCACCCCCCAGGCCCCCACAGATCTCCTCCTCCTCCCTTCCCCCAGCCTGAGTCCCCAGGTGAAGGCTGGTGGTTTGGGGCTGAGGTCAGGAGCGGCCAGTTCTCCTTGTGGTGTGGCTGTCTCCAGAAGCTCCTGATCAACAGGGCTGGGGCGAGGCTGATGGGATTACCTGCCTTGACAATCAAAACCCTCCAGCCTGAACATTTGCCCTTCAGCTCCCGGGCTTGCTTTGCAGTATCTCTCTGATGCCTTTTGAAAAATCCGGCCGCTCCCACAACCCATAGTCTCTCAGGAACGGGCTCTCTGTTTGCAGAGCTGTCCTGTCCAGCGTGGCTGCCTGTCCCCCGGCAGACCTGCAGACGCCGGCTCCTCCCCCCTTCCCAGGGACCCGTGTGGCAGCTTCTGAGGGCCTTTCTCTGGCCGTGTGGGCGCCGCCCGCCCGCCAGGCAGGTGCCTCAGAACTGGGCCACCTCCCGGCTGGTTTGTCTTTGTTTGGCATCTTTGTTTACATAAGCCTGGTGCCTTTTGGATGTTTCTTGCCATTTTGTTGAGAACAGGCCTAGTTGTGACAACTTTGGCTTGGGGTGTGTGTGTGTGTGTGTGTGTGTCTGTGTGTGTCTGTGTGTGGGGTCTGTCTGGGGTCTCCTGAGCAGGCAGCAAACAATGCCTGTGATTCAGCTGTTGGGGTCTTCAGAGCCCCCCGAGGTCCGCAGATTTGGACTGCTACAGGACCCCAGTGAACCCTGGCAGCTTGTGTTCCACTCCTGGGCACGGAGCCTGGGCCCTGGGGGAGGGAATCACTGCTGATGCCTCCCTGGGGTGCTGCGACCCCGAGCACTGCTCTGACGGTGCAAGGCCTGGGTCTGGCGGCCAGTGTGTGCCTGAATATGGGTAGACTGTGTACATGTTATATGTGTGTGATATGTGTATGTATATGCAGGTGATATGAGTGTGCATGTGTGTATATGTGTTTTATGGGTATATACGTGTGGGTGTGTGTACACATGTATATATTTATGTATGTTGTATTTGTGGGTATGTGTGTGTGTGGATTTGCATGTATGTAGAGTGGGTGTATGTGCATATGTGGGGGTGTGTATGTCTGTGGGCTGTGTATGTATAGGTGGGCATGTATACATGTGTGTGGTATGCATGTGTGTATACATGTGGCATGTGTTATGTGTGTATATGTGCAAAGTGTATGTGTCTGTTGGGTCTAGATATGTGTGGGAGGTGTACATTGTATACACGTGCGGGTTGTGTGTGCATATATGTGTGTATGTGTGTGTGCTGTGCACACGTGTGGGATGTGTATATGTGTGTACATGTGTGATGTGCATGTGTGTGTATGTATCGGATGTTTGAGTGTGCACGAGTGGTGTGCATTCAGGTGGGATGAGTATTTTGCATGATCTGTGCGTGGGGTGTGGCTATCACTGAGCTCTTCCCCATGGGATCTCCCAGGGCCCCTGGTGCTCTTGGTCAGTGCTGGGTGGGACACGGATACCGAGAGGACAGTGGGAGCTGCCTTGCCTGGGACTGACCCTTCCCCAGGGCCATGCCACATTCCCCAACCCCCAAGAGTTTGTGTGTGACTCTAGCTGGGCCTGGGGGCCTGGGGGTGTGCCTGTGTGTATATGTGTGGGATGTTTGTATGTGTGTGTGGGGGAGAGGTTCACAGCCTCTGTCGTCCCCCCCCCCCCCCCCCGCCCCGTGGGATCACAGGAGGCTCTTGCTTGTCAGCTGTCCTCCCCCCGCTCTCTCTGTCTCTGCGGAGGACGGGCGCATGGAGCTCCTGGTGGAGGTGCTGGGCAGGCCAGAAGCCTCTGTGGGGTGCCTGTCTGGGCGCGCTCAGCAGTGCTCCGTTCCCTGTGCCCCCCTCCTTGGGGACAGCCCCCAGGCTCAGCACTCACACTGCCTGCAAGCTGTCTGCTCTTCTCTGCCTCAGCCCTGCTGGCCTGGGAGAACCTTGCAGTGGCTGCCTTGTCCATCCTGTGCTGAGGGCTGCGCTGTTTGTGTGGGATGGCGGGGGGGGGGGGGGGGTGGTGCGGTGCGGAAGGCAGAGTGAAGGAGACGAGGACTGTCAGGAGCTGCAGGCCTGCTCCCGCTGCTGGAAATGATGGTGACAGCAGTAATTGGCCGGTCACTTATTCGTTAACCACATGTAGGTGGTCAGCTAGCCTGTGGCCCGTGCTTGGGGATTCTGTTTTCTGGAGGTTTCCAGTGCAGCGGTGCCATGGGCGTCTGTGCCTTGTCTCCTCCCCCGGCACCCAGTCAGGTGTTGGTCTCATAGGTGGGGACCCAGTGCTGGCATGAAGATACAGCAGGGCAGGGCCCTGGAGACTGGGTTGGCTGCTCCTTGAACCTGGGCGTGGGGCGCTTCTTCCCAGCCAGAGCAGTACCTGCTTGAGGGAGAGTTTCAGGCTGTTTGGCCGCTGCCCACCCTTCTCCGGTGTCCCTCTGTGTCCCTCTGTGTCCCCCATTGCTGGCTCCCCCCTCCCCAGAGCCCTGCAGGCCCCATGTGACCTGCTGTGGGCCTCTGTGACTCGGGTACCACGTGAGTGCAGGGCTGGAATGTGGGGCATGCGGGCACTGAACTTGGTCCCTGCCATCCCCGTGTGGCTGGAGCTCTTCCTCTGTCATGCACCCCTCAGGAGGCTGAAGGGGCACATCATGGTCCCTGGCCGGCCCAGCCCGCTCTGGCCAGTGCCTGCCGGTGGCCTCTTGCTGCGGGGGCTGCGGGCATGATGGCTAAGGCCGAGAGCATCTCCGCATGGCAGGCCAGCGACTTCTCGCAAACACTGTTTTCCGCTTCCCTGTCGAGTGGCCTCCTGGAACTGGGGTGGAGAGTGCTGGTGGCCCGCCTGATGGACTCCAGGGCTGGGTCGAGGGGGGCAGCTGCCTTTCTCTGCACCCCGGCCCTTGTCCAGCGTGGAATGACATGCGTGGGCCAGCGGGGCGGGGAGCCGGTGTGATTCCTGCCTGCTTGCACCCTGACGCCGTTTCTTGTGCTTCTTTCTCTTTGAGGATCCACTCCAGGGAACACTTCAAGGAGAAGTACGCCGTAGACGACGTGCAGTACGCAGATGAGGTCAGTGGCCGCTGCTTGGGACGTGGTGCCCCCTAGGTGATGGAACCTTCTCCCCTGTCCCCCACCCACTGCCCGGGGCCAGAGCACAGGCAGGGTTCACGCTCTATGACTCGACAGGCCCCAGAATCTGCCAGTGTGTGTCTGTCCATCATTTGCCCATCAGCCCAGAGCCTGTACTTGTCTGTCCGTCTGTCTGCCCGTTGGCCTGGTGCCTGCATGTGTCAGAACCCTCTTCCCATAAGCTTCGACAGCTCAAGGGCAGCCGTCAGGAACTCTGGGTGAAGGGTGGGGGTGCAGGGGACCCCAGGTCTCATCCGCTCCCCAGAGTGGCTGTACAGAGGAGGCGTGTGGCTGTCCTGCGGCCTCCATGTGGGCACAGGGGCTGCTCCCGCCCCGCTGCTCATGGGGTGTGGCTACCCCCAAGCTCCGACCCCACAGGATCTCCTAGGGGCCCCCATGCTCTCAGTCAGTGCAGGGTGGGACATGGACACCGAGAGAACAGTGGGAGCTGCCTGAGACTGACCCTTCCACCCACCCCCATGCCACATTCCCCAACCCAAAGGGTATGTGCGTGACTCTTAATATCGGGGGGCTGTGCTGCTAATACCGGAGGGGTCGTGCCTCTAGTTCCAGGCTGGAGTCCGGCAGCAGCCCCTCTTGCCCCGGACGTGGCACTGCTACCTGGATGACAGCTAGTGCTGGCCAGGGGCAGGAGTGAGTGGCCCGGTTCCACCTGTGCACTCGGCCTGGCCCACGGTGCTGGGTCTGCCTGGTCCACTGCCACCCCACTGTTCCTTTCCTCCATCCTCTGGGGTCACTTCACCCCGGCTCTGGGACTGGGCGTGACAGGACCCTGCTCTTCTGGGAGTGCCCTTAGCTGCCTCAGCGCAGCTTTATTTTGGGGGACTGTTTATTACTGAGAATTTGGTAAGTTATAAAGTGCTTTCTTCTTGAGAAAGCTACAATGTATAGAAATATACACAAGACAGGGTGCAGGCTCAAGAATGACAGAAGTTACCACTCTAACACTACATCTGTGATGGTGTCATTTAACACTTAACAAGACAGGACCCCCCCCCCCCCCCCCCCCCACCAGCAGTTCTACCGTTTGACTTGGTCACTCAGTATCGTCGTCCTTCCCCCTCTCAGTATTACTCCAGCAGAGGTGGGCACCAGAGCAGGCTAAGACCCGGGGCTGAACTCAGCCTTCAGGACCAGGCTGGGCCAGGGGTCCCTGCAGGGAAGGGTGGTTCAGGATGGGATCTCTCCAAGAGGGAGTGTGACCAGCCTTGGGGTCCCCACTGTTGGCTTTGCACATTCTGCCTGGTTGGGTGGACACTGCTGGGCCTGGTTTAGGGCCTTTGGCTTTAGGGACAAGTGTTTCTGTGACTCAGGACACAGATGTCCTGGGGCACTCAGTGGCCTGTCTCAGCCTCCAGGAGGTGGGACCTGAAGGGACCAGGTGTTTGTGGATCCCCGCGAGGTTGGGCCCCTAATCTGAGTGCTGCTGAGGGAGGGGACCCCTGTCCTCTCTGCCCAACCCGCTGTGTTCCAGACAGCCCCTCTCCTGGAGGCAGGAAGTGGGTAGGGTTGGATAAAGTGGGGTGGGCTGTGTGTGTGTGGTGGGGGGCTCTCTCTGCCTTCATGAACCACTCATTTCCGGAAGTCATTGCTCTTGGGAACCTCTATCTCTTAGGTCTCCTGGGAGTGCAGCTTGGGTAGGGAGGGAGAATAGGCCCCAGAGCTGTCTCCCTGGGTCTCAGCTCCTGCAGCAGCGCAGCCCGGCCTCTCCGCCTCCGCCCCATCTGTCCTGGGGAGGAGAGAAAAGGAGGAGAACCACCTGCCAAGTCACCTGCCATTGTGGTGGAACAGGTCTTGCCTCTCAGGGCTGGAAGGGTCTTATGACCGGGTGGGGTAGCGTTACAGCCCTGCCGAACTGGGCCTCCCACAGGGTGCGGGCATGGTGACCTGTGATCCTGTCCATTGGACAGAGGGACAGGTGCTGCCTGGGGGTGGACACTGAGGGTTCCTGGGGAGCTGTCCTCACTCAGGTACCCCGGCTCAGAGAGGCTCGTCCACAGCCACACAGCTGAGAGCAGCAGCCCTGGGTCTCCCTTGCACTTCCTATGCCCCCTTGCACTTCCACCTGGGGCCTGCTTAGAAATGGGGGGGGGGGGGGGCATTGCTAGGACTTGCTGTGGGGCTGGCACAGGCACCTTCATGCTGTGCGTGACTCAGACTGGACCCTGGCCTTGGGGGCGGGCCTGGGTCTGGTCCCCACCATGCCAGGGTGCCCAGGCATGCTTGGATGTGGTGCCAGGAGCCCTCCTGCATCTCCAGGCTGAGCAGCACTCAGCCACCAGGCCTGGGCAGCAAACTCGCGTGCTCACCACTGGGCTGAGGGGCGTCAGGAGCGGCCCCCAGAACCCTGGAACCCAGCAGGGAACAGATAGACGCTGGATGCAGAAGCTGCCGGCCGCTGCCTTGGGCATGCTGGGTGGGCGTCCCGTGTGGGGGTGGGCTTTCTGGGCGTGCGGGAAGCCCGAAGGGTGAGGGGAACGGGCTTCCCATGCCCGCTGTTTGCCCACCAAACACACAGCTGGCATCTGTCGCTTGTGAAGGAAAGCAGGAAACCCGGGCTGGTTCCTGAGGGACGCACCTGAAATCAGGTGTCTGGGCTGGAGAGAGCTCCATGGGTTCCAGCCCCCGTCCCTCTGGCACTGCTGAGAGTGACCTCCCCAAACACTGACCCGGGTGTAGCTCCTGAATACCTCTGGGTGTGGCCCCAAATCCAGAAGAGAGAGAGAGAGAGAGAAAAAAGAAGGTGGACTTTAACCAGGTACCCGGTGTAGCAGGCTCAGTGCATCATTCCTGGGACCACCCCGGGCTTCACACAGAGGGATTGCTCTGAGACCCTTGAGAGGGGCCTCTAGCGTGAGGGGCGAGGCTGGCATCCATGAGGGTATGGGAACTGGGGGCGCACTGAGTACTCGTCTCTTCTCTGTGGGTGGGAGACGAGCAGAGGGCGTGAGGTCAGGGCCCGGCTGGAGCATCAGGGGGGTGTGGGAGGAAGGGGTGAGTGGGCTAGATGGGGCAGTGTGGGATTGTGGCTGGGGCACAGCTGTGTGACCTGAGAACTTGGGGTGCTCTGTCAGCCCACAGTGCCCCCTGCTGTCTTCGCAGTGGGGTGGATGGGTAAGAGACAGACTGGTGGCGCCCTGGAGATTTTTTAATTAAAACAATTTTTTTTTTTTTAAAGCTAAGGGGTAGGGTGAGGTTTAAGTCTAGGGATAGATTTAGGGATGGGCTGCTGGGATATAGTTCAGGTTAGATCTAGAGTTAGGATTCGGATTGGGTCAGAGGTTAGGGTTAGGGTTAGAATGGGGTCAAATGGGGTCTAGTCATAGGACAGCGGGGAGGTTGCTTTTCCTTGCACGTGGCTGACTTGGGTTCAATCCCTGGCATCCCAAATGGTCCCCCAATCACCGCCAGGAGTCATTCCTGAGTGTAGAGCCAGGAGGAACCCCTGAGCACTGCTAGCTGTGGCCCTAAAACCAATACAAAAAAGAGTTAAAAAACAAAAAGAATTAGGTCAGAGGTTATTAGAGTGAGGGTTGGGGGCAGCTCTAGGTTTGTATTAGGTTTAGGGTTAGATCTATGGTTGGAGTTTGGGTTAGTTGTGAGACTTTCGTTTGGGAGGGATGGGGCCACCCCTGGCGGTGCTCGGGGCTTAGTCTTGGCAAGGCTCAGGGGACCATATGGGGTGCCAGGGATGGAGCACAGGTCAGCCGCATGCAAGCAAGCCAGCCGCCTGCTGTACTGTCTTTCCAGCCCCTTGTAAAGTTTTGAAAGATCCCTGGGGGCTTATTTCTTGGCCTGCTCGGGACTCCACAGGGCGCCTCCCACTGAACTCAGGGCTGTGTGCGTGACCCTCCCTCTGGGTTTTCACTGTGCAGGGGTTGGGGGGCTGCAGCCTGCAGTGTCATGGGCTGTGGGAGGAGGGCCTCCCCGGGGGCCCTCCTGATGCACCGTGAAACCCACGATTCCACTGGCGACGTGCCCGGCGCTCCCGCAGTAGGCGGTGGGGCTGCAGACGCAGGGCGGCGGCATGGCACTGTGCCAGGCAGGCAGGCCCAGCCCCGCTCCTGAGAGTGCCCGGTCCCCTGTGACCTCCCGCGCCATGGAAACCAGGCTGGGCTGACAGCCCAACCATGCGCTTGTTGTGGGCCCGAGCTGCCCTTCATTTCTGAGGTGCAGAATCTGAGCGTGCTCTGAGCTGCTCCCTGGGGAAGCAGCTGCTAGGCCTGCCTGGCGGGGGCGGGGTGGGTCTCGGAGAAGGCCGCCAGGCACCCTCTCAGGCCCAGCTGTGTCGCTCCATGACAGCTGTGACCCTGCCTGGCCCTGCGACAGTGGCCGGCAGCGCTCCGTGATGCGGGGGCGGGGGCGCCCGGCGGCGGTGCCAGGCAGCGAGGAGGGGCCGCCCACACTGCGTTCTCTCCCTCGTCCTCCCCAGCACGCCCCGAGCTACTGGCAGGAGAGAGCCCCATCCACCTGCGCGTTTGTTTTCCTGCCTCCTGCTCCCAAGGACAAAGCACAGACAATCCCCCAGTGCCCGCCCCCGCGCTCCGCTTCTGCTGCCTAATTGACAGCCTCCTTCCGGGCTGACGAATGTGGCCCCAGTGCCCTGCGTCAGTGCTAGCTCCCCTGGCCTCTAATGAGGGAGGGCCCCCTCGCGCGCGGGGGTGGGTGGGTGGATGGATGGGGGTGGGGTGGGGAGTCGGCCCTTCCTGCAGCAGCTGGTGCGTGGGGGAAGGGGTGGCGGAGGGGGGCACACAGCTGGAGGGTGGTCTCGCCCGCAGCACCACAGACCTCCCCACAGTGCACAGGCCGGGCCTGGATTTGTTCCTCTTAGAGGCCACACCCGATGGTGCTTAGGGGCCCCGGGGCCACTTCGGAAGAGCTGGGCCTGGCACAGGCCATGCACACGGTGCCTTGGGAATGAAGTTCGGGGCCCTGGACCTGATAACACCTTGATCCCCTGTATTTGGGAGATAAGATTTTTCTTTTGCTGGGGGGCGGGGGCTCACCTGGCGGTGCTCAGGGCTTCCTCCTGGCTCTGAGCTCAGGGATCACTCCTGGTGACGCTCGCTCGGGGATCCAACCCAAGTCAGCTGTGTGTAAGGCAAGTGCCCTACCCATTGTACTATCTCTCCGGCCCCTGGCGCTTTGTAAAAAAAAAATCATTGTCATTATTTTAGGTTTGGGGCCATACCTGGTGGTGCTCAGGGACCCCCCAGTGGGGTCTGGGGGGACTATCTGGGGGTACCAGGGAGGGACTCCTGGTGAGTCTCGTGATGGGCAAGCGCACCTTACCTGCTGTATCTCCCTACCCTGGTAGATCAGCTTTTAAAGAAATGTGTCTTGGGGGAAGCACAGCTTATGGGTCAGGCTGCCCACCCAGTGTCTCAGATTTCATGAATCCATTGCTTGTGCTCTTTGAAGAGGGTGTTAAGAGGGTCCCCGGGTCACTCAGGACTCGCCTGCTCTGACTGTGGTGGGCATGCAGACGCCCCCTCTACCTGCTGGTTGGGGGGGGAATCAGGTCGCTGGGAGCAGTGGGGGGGGGTGGGAAGGATGGTGTCTGACCAGCACAGCCTCCACCAGCAGATGACCCCCCCCCCCCCTCAACCCCCCACTCCCCAGCCTTACAGTGACGGGTGGATTCAGGGTATTTGAAGACTCTCTAATGACAGGAAATAAGCGGAGCGTGTAACTCCATATGATCCGGTGTCACTTTAGATCTCTGCTTCCGAGTGCAGAGATGGAGAGTCTCTGGGGAGAGAGGGGTGGGTGCGTTTCCTCTGTTTATGGTCTTCCGCGCATTCCAGGTTTTTTTCTCCGGGAGCCCCTAGCTACTAAAAAGCTGCGTGTATGTACTCATATGTCAAAACTTATCAAAACGTTGCACTTTAAGTACGTGCAGCGTGGCGTGCGGAGCTGTTGAAACAGCAGCAGCAAAGCCGCCTCCTCCCTCCTGCCCCCATGCTGGGGTGTGGGGGTGAGGGGCGGGGGGGGGGGGGAGGGCAGCTGGGGGGCAGGCTGGTGGGGTGGGGGGGCAGCTTGCTCGGGAGCAGCTGTTGCAGCTGCGTGTATGCTCTGCTCAGGGGGTGGTGCCTAGGAGGGGGATCTGGGGGACGAAGCCCCAGGCCAGAGCCGGTGGGTCAGGGCACCAGCTGGGGCAGAGGTGGGACTAGGGCATGTGTGTGTGTGTGTGTGCCCAAGACAGAGCATGCTGTGTGCCCCGCACAGGCCGCGTGGGCCCTAGGGGGAGGTGTGGTGAGCTGGGCAGGGCTATGGTGCAGGGGTGAGGGCAGCTTGCCCTGGCTAGAACATGATGGGCCGGGAGGGGTGTGAGGCGTAGTGAGCTGGGCAGGGGTATGGTGCCATGGTGAGCCGGGCAGGGGTATGGTGCAGGGGTGTGGGGGGGCGTGGGGGGCTGGAACAGGACCCCCCATGTGAGGCTGTTTTAAGGGCTTTCAGGATAACTTGGCAGGGGGACAGTGGCTGGGGCCCAGTAGTGAACGGGGTATGAGGGAGGGAGTTGGCTATTTAGAGGCTTCCCAGGTGTCAGTGGGAATCTTCGCTCCCCATCAGAGCCATTGTAAGCCTCAGTTTCCTCATCTGCAGGGTGCCCCCTCCCCCCAGCACCCCCAGGCGTAGCATCTGTGGGCGTGTGTGATGGTTGGTTGGTATCGGGGAAGCTGCCAAGCTGGTGCTGAGGGCTTTTTCTTTCTGGCCTTTCAGATTGCCACGGTCCTGACATCCCGCAAACCATCTGTCCTCCTCACCTTGGTAAGTGTCTGGGTACAGGGGAGGGGTGTAAGGGGGGGCACCTGCCCTGTGGAGGTCAGGGCCATGGGGAAGGACTGGGAAACCCGGGGTAGGGGTGGGGGATGGTGCTAAGTTATCACTCCGGGGGCCATGGTGGGGACCAGGCCCTGGTTCTCCCACTCCCTGGGAAGGGCTAAAACACCCTTGGCTGAGACCCACGCCTACAGGGAGGCTTGAAGCTGGCTTGAATCAGGTTGGACTTGCGGACGTGGTGAGCAGCGCAGGGTATCGACCTGCTTCTGAGTTGCATCTCCAGCATCGTTAGGGAAATGCGCGTCCACCTGCCTGTGAGCTGGTGGGGATGGTCACAGTAAATTTGTTTGTTTGGGGGCCACACCCAGAGGTGCACCAGGATTACTCCTGGCTCTGTGCTCGGGGATCTCTCCTGGTCAGGCTCAGGGAACTGTCTGTAGTACTGGGGATCAAACCTGGGTCAGCCGTGTTGAGGCTTCGTGCTTTATCCTTACACTAGCTCTCTGGCTGGTGGCACCCGAGTTTGAAGCCAGACACAGAAGGGCCTGATGGGTGGCAGTCTAGGGAGGGGGGTGGCATGCTTTCGGGGCAGGCGCTAGGAGGGAAGTGGGGGCATTCAGCTCGGAGAAAGAGTGGGCTCTCTGTCTTCCAGTGACCTTGGGGAGTCGCAGGTATGCAGGCACACAACAATTACTCCTCTGCCCTCTTACAGACCCATTTTCCAGGAAGTGTTGTTGGCTTTTCTCAGGGTCTTATGGGGGGTCTCTGTCTTGGAAGGACCCATAGAGTGATTGTGGTCACAGATTGTGGTTCCCTGTGTATTTTGGGGGGGAAGGGGAGGCAGTCCTGGCTCTGTGCTCAGGAATCACTCCTAGCAGGCTCTCAGGATGCCAGGGGTCAAACACATGTCTGCCATGGGCCCAGCAGACAGTCCCCTACTCACTGTACCATCTCATGGGCTCCAAGCACTGACCTCTCACTAGCCGAGTGCTTGACCCTCCCAGGGACGGCACATTTGTTTCTCTTGTGTCCCGTTTTTCTGCTTGCAGCATCCATCCATGTGAGGTCCACTCAGGGCAGAGCGACGAGTGGGGCAGTAGTTGGGGGAGTGGCGGGGTGTGGGGGCGGGGAAAACGGGCCTCCTTGGCCACTGCCGCCCTGGTCACTCCCGCACCCTCTCTCCACAGCGTGGCGTCAACACCGACAGCGGCAGCGTGTGCAAGGAAGCTTCCTTCGAGGGCATCAGCAAGTGAGTGTGACCGGACCTGCCCCTCTCCACCCCTCACCACCCCGCTCGCCTCCCTGCAGGGCTGGGCACACCTCGGTGTACTCCTGCTTCTGCTTTGGCCATGCTGGTGCTGGCACTTGCCTCCAGAAGTGCACACTTGAACGTGTTCGAACGGACACGAAGGACCAGTGTCAGTGTGATTAGGAAGCAAGGTCCAAACAGCTGTGGGACCCCACCTCCCCACTGCTCCCCTCAGTTCTGCACTGGACTCCTAGGGTTCTCTTATCTCCAGCAGACAGGTACCTTTGCTCGGTTTTCCCTCTCCCTCACATTCGACGGGGACATTCTCTTGGGCTTGCTTTACTCCTCCTGACTCCTTTTGTTCAGCTCCCCCTGTCCCTTCCCATTGCATCCGTGTTGCCTCCTCGGGCAGGATTCTGTTTCTCGGTGTATTTTCACGCTGAGAGTTCTTTTATCCCTGTGAGCGTAGGTGCACGTGGACCCTCCCAGCCTGCGTCTTTGTCTTCTGCACTCAGGTACCTAGAAATGCAGTGGCCACAGTGCAGGGCAGGTCTGTGTGTGTGTGTGTGTGTGTGTGTGTGTGTGTGTGTGTGTGTAGGTTGCCTTCCTTCCGTTTTCCGTGGGCATGCGCGCCCACAGTGCATGGAGGGTCCTCGTTGTCTGGGGTGTGAGGTGTGATCTCGTTGCAGCTCCCCGATAACAGGCGGAGCATGAGTGCCTTTCCCCGGGCCCGTGGCCGTCCGTGAGTCTTCTCAGGTGAAGCGTCTGCCCAGCCTCTCCCCGCATGCTGATTTCTTTTCCTTGTGGATTTTTGCGAATTCCTCACACACCTTGGCTATTAGCCTCTGGTCACACGCTCTCTCCCGATCCGCAGGATGCCTTTCCATTTTAATGCTGGTCTTCGTTTGCTATGCAGAAGCTTTACATGTTTGATGTGGTCCCATCGGGTTCCTTTTCCATACGGTTAGCGTCGAATCTGCAAGATGTCACCACAGCCAATATTGTCCCCCATGACAGACATGATCTCGGCCCTTCTCAGCCCCTTCACTGCTAGCCAGCAGTGACACGTGATCCCCCCCTCCCCTGCCCCAACGTGCTGCCTCTGTCCTGGATGGGGACCCCTTTCCTGCTCTCTCTCCCCAGCACCCTGTGAGCGTCAATCCCAGACCCCTCTGGCAGAGTGATTGTGGATCCCTGCACCCCCTGCTCCCCTCACATGTGGCTCCTGGAGGGCCTCTGGGGGTCTGCTCTGCTGACTGATGTTGCGTGGTGAGCCTAGCACAGCCTCCGCCGCCACTATGGCCCTACCCTGCCCCTTCCCCCACCCCCCACCCCCCTGCGTCCTTTGGTGGCCCAGGCTGTGCCTTATAGTTATGCATGAGCCTGAGCCCCGGAAATGCGTGTGTGTGATGTGGGGTGATTAGGAGGATCATGAGCTCATAAATATGTATCACTCCCCCCCCCCCCCCCCGCCCCCTTGATGAGAGCAATGTGTGTGTGGAGGGCGGGGCGGGGGGGGGCAGGTCGCGGTTCTTGCTGCTCATTGCTCAGAGCTCCTCGTCCCCTTGGGGGCTTTCCCGGCAGCCCACCCCCCCCCAACACACGACTGTGATCAGCTCCGCCTGTTGGCTGTGAGCTGCATTTCCCCAGGGCCTTGGTGTATGTGTGTGCGTTTGTGTGTGCGCGCGCATGTACTTGCCTGTGTGTGTGCGTGCCTGTGTGAGTGTGTGTGTGGGGGGGGGTAGGTGGGTATGATGGGGTACAGCCTGTTCTGGCCCCACCTGCTGGGCTCTGCTTGGCCTCTATCTTTGAGGGGAGGCCCTAGAAGCAGCCATGGTGGCCCCTCGCTGGCCTTGGCATGCTTATCCTTGTGGCTTGAACTGGGCAGGGGGATGGGACCGCTGCTCCCTCAGCGCCTGGGGCTCAGAAATCAGCCACATGCAGGCAAATGCCCGTTTCCCTCCCTGCACCTCTGTCAGTGGGCCAGGTGGACTCGGGATCCCGCATTTCCAGGGTTCCCCTTTATCAGCAGGCTGTGGGAGCTGCCCCCCCCCCCCCCCCGTGGGTCTCTGCTGCAGTGCTCGTTCGGTACCCGGGCACAGGTCTGCCTGTGTGCGGGGCATGTCGCCCGGAGCTCAGCCTGAGCCCCTGAGCCCCACAGGCCACTCCCTAAGAATTCCTGGAGAGAGCTGGGCAGGACCCAGCGCTGCCGTGGGCTGTGGGAGCTGGGCCTCGTCTCTCACCAGGCCACCGGTGCTCCTGGGAACCCGACTTCCCTCCTGAGCTCTACTGTGCTGTCCCGCTCCGCCCTGTCCCCCGCCCCTGCCTGCACTGCCGGCTGGCCAGAGCTGCTGTTCAGGAGGACCTGGGAAAGCCTTCACTGTGTACCCAGCCTGGGCTCCGTGCAGCCTAGGGCTGACTGGGGGCTCGTCAGACCCTCCCTCCTGGGGGATGAATAATGGTTCCATATCTGCTGTGACTAGGAATACCCTGACGGCTGGGGAGAGCTCTCCCTGGATCCTTTCTGCTTTGGGGAGGAGGGTCCCTGGCTGATGGTCCCCTCTCCCGTGGCCCATGTCCCCACATTTCCCCGTCGGGCCTGCTGTCTCACTCTGCACCCGTGAGCCCTGCCACGGGAGGTGGTGCCATGGTGTCCCCTGACCTCCAGCCCCAGGCCCCAGCTGCCCACTTACCTGTCCAAGCCTCCCCTTGTGCAAAATTGAGCCGGTCCTGTGGGCTCCATACCCCCCCCTGACCCCCCCGCCCCCCTCTGGGCAGCGCTGAGCCAGGCGGGGAGGGCCCTGCCCCAGAGGGCCCAGAGCCTCCGGCACTGCTGGCGCCCCCCACTGTGTCTCCAGCTGTTGGCCCGGATAATAATAGCTCGTGTCCTAAGCAAGATGGATCTTGCTGTCGGCCTACTTTCCGGGGCCCAGCTGCCTGTGTCCCAGCTCATGCTGCCGTCCTCGGCACCCCATGCGCCCCCACCCTGCCAGCCACGGTGGTCACTCTGCTCAGGGCCTCCTGCTTCAGTGCATTCGTGCTGCTCCGGCCGTTTGTTCCCCTCTCCCCCTGTCATATGGCCTTCGGTGACACTGCTGTCTGGGGCTGGGCATGTCACCTTCTCTCACTCTGGGCCCCTCAGCTCCTCGGGGCCCCAAGAGGGGGCATCTCAACCTCCCCAAACCAGGACTGAACCCCCTGCTGCCCACAATGGGGGTTTCCTCAGGGTGGGGAGCCCAGGAAGGGGACACTGACACACTGGGGTTTCCCCAGGACCTTGGGACGCTCTGCTCCCTGAAGGGGTCGACTCTATACTCCTGGGTGCCCAGAGGTCCAGGAGGGTGACAGAGAGCAGTGTGGGGGGTCCTGGCGCTGCATCTGCGCCCAGGCCTGCTTCCTGCCTCCCGGCAGGTTCCCGTTGGGCTTTGTTAAGGCTGCGAAGGGACTTGGGGCTCCCTGGCCTATGGCAGGGATGAGGGGGTGGGTGGGAGCAATTGGTTCCGGTTGCCTAGGAGCGAGGTCAGGCAGGAGGAGCCCTGGCAGCTTCTGGGGAGCACTGCCTGCAAGCAGACTCTCCTGAGGAAGCCTGACTCGGAAGTGAGGATGGGGTCCATGGGGAGGGGGGCAGGTGACCCCCTGCCTCTCCCCTTCAGTTAGTCACCTTTGCCCTGTGCCTTCCCGGCCTGCCTCACTACCCCCCACCCTACCCTCCAGAGCACTGGGTGCCCCGGAGCTTGGGGTGATTCCCAAGGGCGGCTGTTGCCGCTGTCGAAGAGAGACATACAGCCAATATTTTACATCAGCTGGTTGGTCGGGATAAGCATATTTCTTATCTTTTGGCATTTACTTAAATTGCCTTGCATATTTGAAGACAATTGGTTACAAATTAATTCCATTTAAATAAGCAGTTAAATATGAAATTGCTGAATTTGGAACTTGTTAATGCGGGGACATTAATATTCAGAGATGCGAATTGTAAACCCCGGGAAGTAGGGGGGACATTATGAAAACTCAGAGATGACAACAGAATGCTGCCTGGCGTGGGGACTGTGCTTTCAGTGCCTGAGAGTGTGAGTGTCAGGCTCATACATGGGACAGGACTGGTTGTGGCCCCTGGGGGCCCGTGGGGGCTGCCCCCACCCCAGAGACAAGAACCTGCCTCTATCTCCTGGTGGAGCGGGGGATGGGGACCCCCCTCTGGGCCTGCTCTGTAAGCAGGCCTTGCCGCCCTCCTTGGGGTAGCAACGGGGGGGGGGGCAAAGATTGGGGGACCCACACTGCTCCCCTCTGTCTCTGGCCCACAAGGAGACCTCTCCCAGGAATACTGCTGCCAGGATCCCCTGAACTGTAGACATTGGTTGTGGTGACATTTTTATACAGCCCAGGGGTCATCTTAGAAAGTACTTTTTTGGTACAGAGCTAACAGGGCAGAGCATGGGGACAGACACCCCTGTTTACACTCGGGGATGGCTTTGAAGTCTTATGTGCCTGCAGGGCTGTTTCTGTATGTTTCTGTGTTGAGTACGTCTCTCGGAGAGTCTGTCTGCTGCTCTCGGCACACAGATCTTAGGGTGTGGGTCTGTATGTGTCCCTTTTGGGGCATGTGTGTGTCTAAGTGTGTGTGTGTGTGTGTAGGTGTCTGGGTGGGAGCCTGTATCTATGTGGGGAGATGTGTGTGCATCCAAGTATATGTTTGCAGGACACACATCTGTGTGTGAGCTGTGTGTGTGTTTGCATGTGTGTGTGTGGGGTGTGTGTGTGTGTGTGTGTGTGTGTGTGTGTGTGTGTGTGTGTGTGTGTGTAAAACGTTGAGAGTTCCGGGCTGTGCGATTCTTGAGTAGATGGGACATGGCTTTTTACTAACCTCCAAATGGCCCACTGGGTGTCGGGGTCTGTGTTGTCGTCTTGCCTCAGGTCCTAGCTGCTCTATTCACCCCAATCCATACTGCTGCCTCTGTGATCTCTTGAAGCGGGGGTCTTTGTTTCAACATCACAGTTGA